GGCTCCTGGGAGGGGGCTGCTGAAGCTGGGTCAGGTTGGCAGAGGTGAAGTGCTGTGCACCATTTCTCCTGCCTTCTTACCTTCCCGTAGAAATGCCTCGGATTTCCTTGCATGTCACGTTGGCTTTCAATGAATTTCAAAATACTGCTGATTATGTTATAGGCTAATTTCTTCAGCGTCTTGGGCGTGCGTCCCAGCTCGTGGGAAGAGCAGTGGAGAGCGTCACGTTTCTTTCTCTGCTGGATCCCCGCCGCCGGGCGGATGCGGTATCCGCTGCTGGCACCAAGTGGCGGGGGGGGGGAATGCTCTCGAGGTGCTGGACTCGCCAGCTGCCTTCTGTGTGTAGACTTTGGGGCTGCAGTTTGGAAGGGGCTAGAACCCCGGTGTTTCCTCTCCAGTTTCCTTGATGGTGGGTGTCGTGTGGGGGAACTGCTCCGTCCTGTGCTGGTGATGCTAGCTGAGCGATTGTCCTGGCCATGCTTTTCCTTTTTTTAAGATACGTGAGAGGGAAAAATGCTGTCAGAGGACTTGTTTGCTTGCCATAAATCTCCGTGTGCTCTGCCCTGAATCCTGTCCTTGTGGGGCTTGTTGTCACATTTTTTTCACCCCTTGAGTGACTAGAAAAATAACCTGTACAGTAATATCACATGCACTAAGGCAAAGGATCGTGATTACCTGGGAGAGGACACTGTTCTTCCTGCTTTTTCAAATACCTGGAGGATTTGAGCACTTAACACTGTTCATAAGCTGTGTGCTGAGTACTGAAAGAAAAATCACTGTAGGCTTTTCACTCTCCTTTACTTTTCAAGTAGAGACAATGGGCGAGCTGTGTTCAGTTGGCCAGAAGCCATTCAAAAAGGCAGGAGATAGATGTGGTACCTCTGAGCCCAGACAGGGAGGTGGGAAGGGGGTGCCAGGGGTAGATGGGGTTTTTTTTAGAAGTTGGAATCAAAGTTTTTCAACTCACAAATAATTTGAAGCCAAGTCTTTTTATTAATATGATTTTGTTGCTTTTTCTCAGTTTGGTGATGATTATATTTGAATTTGGAAACTGGTTGTTGACCTGCTCTTGCTTGCCAGTCCCTTTCCAGGCTGATCTCTGCAACAACCACCACTGTGTGAGTGTGTATGGGAGATCATAACGCCTGGCTGCCAGGAATTGGCTTTGGGCATCTGTGAGTGTTGTAGATTAATGTTAGAGGTGTTCATTTTAAAGTGAGATAAACTCAGAGTAAAAAGCATTAATTCCACGGTTTTCAGGGTTTTTGATTTCTTGTAAATAATACCCATATGGTTTTTGACTCATCACTGCACCTGGTGACCAACTGCAGAAATTAAAAGCCAGAACCAGTTTTGGAGCCCACAGGGAGGGAGAATGAATTTGGTTTATTTACGGCCTCTCAGGACAGTTTTGTGCTTTAAAGAGATTTGTATGAATAAGTTATTTTAGTTCCTTCATTTTAGATTTGTTTTATCTTTATTTTCTCCTTGAACACAATCTCCCAACTGTGTGATAAATCAAAAGATTTAAGCTGCTTTGTCTCATGCAGTGGGACTGCTGTCGATGAGGCTCCTGCTACTGCTGTGATCAAGACTCAGGTTATGGCAGTAGAATGGGCACTTGTGGTTTAACCACTAAGCCCCTTTGGACCAAACCGTGGAGTTCAACATTGCAAGGAACTTCACCCCTGCTCCAGCTTGAACTTACCACAGACTGCAGTCCCTTAACCCTGCTCCAAGCACTGGTGAGGCCACACCTCGAATACTAGGTTCAGTTTTGGGTCTCTCACTCCAAGGAGGACACTGGGGTGCTGGAGCATGTCCAAAGAAGGGCAACAAAGCTACAGGAGAGCCTGGAGAGCAAAGTTGTGTGAGGAGCAGCTGAGGGACCTGGGGCTGTTGAGCCTGGAGCAAAGGAGGCTCAGGTGAGACCTTCTGGCTCTCAATAGCTCCCTGAAAGGAGGTTGGAGCCAGGTGGGGGTTGGCCTCTTCTCCTAAGGAACAAGCAACTGGACAAGAGGAAACGACCTCAAGTTGTGCCAGAGGGGGTTCAGGTTGGTCATGAGGAAAAATGTCTTCCCCAAATGAGCTGTCAAGGCCTGTCCCAGGCTGCCCAGGGCAGTGTTGGAGTCCCCATCCCTGGAGAGCTTTCAAAACTCTCCATGTAGATAGGGTGCTGAGAGACATGGTTTGGTGGTGCTCTGGCAGTGCTGGGTTAACAGTCAGACTCAAGGATTTGAAGGTCTCTTCCAACCAAAGCAATTCTATGATTCTGTCTGTGAGCTGCAGCCTCTCCAGGGCTATACCTGCTCTTTTGTGGGCCACACACTTCTGTGAGCCGCAGTCTCTCCAGGGGTATAACTGCTGTGGTGTGGACTTGATCACAGTTTTCAGCTTCAGAAGTAAATCTGCTCCAACATGGCCTTACCCATGGCTTGATTCTGTCTGTGAGCTGCAGCCTCTCCAGGGCTATACCTGCTCTTTTGTGGGCCACACACTTTGAGGTGCTCCAGCACAATCTCATGCACAGCCACTGATGCTTCAAGGTGTGCCTGCTGCAGCACAGACTTGCTCACAACTACAGATGCTTTGAGGTGTCCTGCTCCCACATGGCCTCATCCACAGATCACAGTTCCTTCAATTGGAGTTCCAGCCTGGCTGGTGCAGCAGCACAGGGGCAGCAGCCATACCCTGGTCATCTGCCAGCCCAGGCACATGGCCATGGCTGTTATCAAACTGTTCCCAGGCACAGCGGCGTCAGATAAGCAGTACAGCAAACAGCAAAAGGAAAGAGCAGCCACCAGTGAGCACTGGACTCTTAATGTACAGTGAGACAAGCAAGCCCTGTGGCTAGCACAGGAACCTGCTGACGAATAGCTTAACTGCTATAAATTCAAATCTAGCACATTCCATTCAAACCTGTCATTATCTCAACCCTTCATGGCCCATGTTGGGCACCAAAAAGGGCCATTGGGGTTCAACCCCAGTGAGTAGCTCAGCACTGCAGAGCTGTTTGCTTGCTTCTCCCTGCAGTGGGATGGGGGAGAGAATTGGAAGGGTAAAAGTGAGGAAACTCATGGGTTGAGATAAAGACAGTTTAATAAAGCAAAAGCCACGCACACAAAGCAAAACAGGGAATTCATTCTCTGCTTCCATCAGCAGGCAGGTGTCAAGCCATGTCCAGGGAGGGCTTACGGGGACTGTCACCTTAACAGAGGCTACAGGAAAGCTGGGGAGGGACTTTTTATTAGGGAGTGTAGTGATAGGATGAGGGGTAATGGCTTTAAACTGAGAAATGGTAGATTTTAGTCTAGATATTCTTCACTATGAGGGTGGGGAGGCACTGGCACAGGTTGCACAGGGAAGTTGTGGAGGCTCCATCACCGGATGCATTCAAGACCGGGTTGGACGGGACTTTGGGCAACCTGGTCCACTGGGAGTGTCCCTGCCCATGGCAAGGGGGTTGGAACTAGATGATCTTTAAGGTCCCTTCCAATCCAAAACACTCTATGATTCTATGATCTTTGAAGGCGGTTGGTAGAAAAATACCGGTTCATGTCTTTTGGTCTGAAATTAGGAATACTGTAGGAGAAGAAAGCATCAGTGCTGCTTTTGAAACTGGACTAACTGAATTTTTATTTGCTTTGGATATTGTAAAGCTTTTTTGCAGTTGTCAAACCTGGCAGAAAGGACTACCTCTGCTTTTTAATGAAGAACATGTATTTTTCCTCCAAATGAGTTTACCCTTTTGTTTCCCCAGTAAACAAGAAGGGAAGAGCCTGATGTTTGGCATTGTCAGTAACCCCTAAAATCTGTATTGGATGACAGCAAAAAACACCATCTTTTCCCCATATACTGTTTGGACCAGTCAAGTGAAAGCACAAGGTGCAGAATTTGTCCAGCTGGGAGCTGCCTCCTGCCAGCATAGTCCATCCAAACCCCTCCAGCCCTGGTACTTCATGCATTTCAAATGAAGTAGGAATCCCTTTGTGTCCCACTGGGAAAAGCAATGAATTAAGTCTGGCCGATATGCTAATAATTAAAAAACATTTACCCCCAATTCGGCATTAGCATGGAAATTGTAATTATATGCAGCTTAGTTGCCACGTGGTGTAGTTAAAGAGTGTATATATTAAAAGCATATATAGCCAGCCATGTCTGGAGCTCTGCCTACACATGGATTGAGAGCAAGGCAGGTGGAGCTGCTGACTTTCATCTGCCCACCTTGATCTCGGTTGGGTGCTTTGCCTAGCTTTTGTGTTAGCTGTGCCATTAAGCACAGAAGAGCAGTTGAGGCAGAAGTGGTTAACTCACCAAGCAATACAATATCAAGGCAGTGGAACAGAGTTGTTCCCTAGGAGTTTAAAAATTAATTTCCTTGTTAAATGTCATCTGGCTTGTGATCAGCTGTAGTGTAGGTCATGTTTTCTGATAAATTTGAAGGAAAGCAACTAAGGGATCCGGAATGCTGAGATCTGTGAAATTGAAGTCAGCTGGAGTCTGACATTGGTGTTTATAGAGCCATAAAGAGGTGGGGAAAAAAGTAAAATATGAAATCTGCATTATTCAGCTAGCAGAGATGTGGTGCTTAAACCCAGCACCTTCCAAAGTTGGGGAATTGCTCCTCCCTTCTCATCTGCAGTGAAAGCCAGGAGAACATAAATTAATGCTGGAGGGATGGATTGATGGAGAAAAACTTTCTCTGCCAAAGGGCTTGTGGGAAGTTCTGGAGGGGCAGTTCATAAGGGTCAGGGACTGGAAGGGGCTGAGGACAAGGAGAACTCTCTGGGACTGGGGAAGGTGGGGTTTAGAGATGTCCATGAACATTCCCTTGATGGGACGCTGGGGCTTGGAGCAGAGAAGAGCTAAAACGAGACGTATTTTCCTGCAGTGTTAATTTTTTGTTACAGTGCCTTTTAACACCCTTGACGTGGACGGAGCTTTCTGCTGCACAGCCTTGTTTTCACCTCCCTTTGTGGGTTGTTTTGTTCTCCTCCCAGTTTGAGCGGCACGACCCAGTGGAGGGGCGGATCACGGAGCGGCAGTTCGGCAGCATGCTGCTGGCCTACAGCGGGGTGCAGTCCAAGAAGCTCACGGTCATGCTGAAGCAGCTCAAGAAGCACTTCCAAGACGGAGAGGTCAGTGACGTTGATGGCAAATTTGGGAAAGTGCAGGGGGCAGCCATCCCATACCATGCCCAGAAGTCAAGAGCAATCTCTGGCTTCCTAAGAAGAGCACCTTGTTAAGCATTGTGGGGAGACACATGGACTTCCCAGATGATAAATATTTTGCCAGCAGCAGCAGGATGGAGGAAGTGGGAGTGAAGCAGTCTGTCCAGATCAGGGTGTAGGCTCGTGCCTGTTAAAATGAACGCTGTAGTTTTTCAAAATCTAAATTTGCTGTACCGCATCCTGGGTCTGGAGCCAGAGTCAACATTGCGGATGAGTTCCTTGTTGAGTGGCTTGACCTTGGATTAATTAGCTGCTGTGACTGGGCAGTTTGTTATTTAGTTGTGAACTTACATGAAAGATTATTTGTATTGCTCATGATTTAGAGAGAAATAAGGTTGCAGATCCTACACTTGTTAATTTATTGAGAGACCTTGTAATAAGACACGAGTACCAAAAGGGCATGCTTTATCAGGTAAGGCAGGTATGGGCTGCTGAACTACTTCAGTATGAGAAATTCAGGCCTGCTTCTATAAAGAAGGGTTGTTCTTTTATTAACTTGATTATAAACAAGCAATTTGTCAAAATGGGAATGGACAGAGAGTCTTTGGCTGCATATTGGGTCAGTCTGACTGTTTTAGAGCCACTTTCCCCTAACATCAGAACTAGCATTTACTTCTTAACTGGTTTGGATATAAGATGTGTTATAAACCACAAATGTTGACCGTAGTCTTTTTGTCCGTTTTTAGTGTTTTAACTGGACTGTACAGGAATCCTCAGTTGATGTGAAGCCACTCCAGTGACTTTGCTTCCCATTTTCTTCCCTTTCACTGGTGCTGGAGGAGAACTGGGGTGTACTGAAGCAGCATGGCATGTACACTAATAGGTCTCCATTAACTGCAAATAACGTCAGAAAGTAAAAAAACTGGAGGACACCGTAAGCAAGCCAAAAAGCCATGTTCAGAGTTGCGTTCCTACCAGAGGAGCTGCAGTTCCTTTCAGCTTCTCATGGCCTTGGGGTGCCAGAAAGAGGGTGTTTTGTTTTTCAGATTCCCTCAAGTTTTGTAGGAAAATAGGCTTGATATTTAATAGGCTGTAATCGATCGATGGTGTCAGTGTGTCTTCGGAGCTGAGACACGTGTATCAATACTTAGAAATCTTGCTTCTCAAGCTCTTTATTGCCATCTTAAAAGACCATTGATGTTTCCAAGGTTGTGTCTTTTTATTCAATCTTTGAGCAAAACACTGATTTCAGCTTTTCCAATACCTCTGCTCCCCTTGAGCTTTAACAGGAATCATTTGTTTTCTTGTGTGGAAAAAAATACTTAACTGTGATGTCTGTCTAACAGAAAATAGACTCTGTTGATGTTCCCAAACTGTTCATTCTTTTGCTGTGATTTGGATATATTTAATATATATATATACACACATACATATTATTGAACAGTAGCTGAGTGTAAGAGAAATTAGGCAGAGGAAGTAATTTTGGAAGCTCTCTTAGAGCAGATGTTTTCTTCCTTTCATGTTTAAGCCAAGACCCTGACATCTGTGGCAGAAGGGGAACTTTTTGGTTTTACCTTATTCCTCATCCCCAGATCAGCCAGATTGTGTTTCTATTTGCAGATAAACAGATTCAGAGCAAGTCTTTTTCTTTCTTTACTCCAAGGACTCTCAAGGAGAGAAATGGAGGAATAGCACAAAAAAAAGATGTTTGCAAGGAACAGAATTGGTGGAAAACACATGATTCCTTAGACCAGGGGGAATAAAGCACCCAAATGCCTAAAACGGGACAGTCTCTGTTAGCAAGTACAAGATATTTAATGGTTTAAGGAGATGTAAAGGATGCAAAAAGTGCCAGATGCTTTGTACTGGAGCCAGATGAGCCTTTTCCAGCCAGGGCAGCTCAATGTCAACGCTTACACAGAGACAGAGAAATCAGGCACTGGAATCTTCCACTTCAGCAAGGTTTTGCTCAAAGAGAGTCCAGGCTGGTGCCTAACTTTGCATTGTCTTCAATACAAGAGAACTTTTTCTTGAAAGTTTGTGGGGTTCTTTTTTCTTCTGGAGTATTTTAGAAGATTACATCCTGTGCAGGTTTGTGTGCAGCACTTCATATCTAAATAGACTCATGTACCTTTATCAGATCACACTGGTGCGGCTGTCAGTGGTTTTATGTACCTTAAATTTCCCCATCTCTTTAGAAACAGGGCCACCATGACCAGAATCACAATAACCACCTTTTGAGCGTTCTGGATCCCTTATTCAGGGGTGCCCATGCAAAGTTTTCATTGTAAATAAATGGAGTATAAAGCCAGAGAGCATTCTCCCAAATGTTATCCCAATTGAAATTGCAGAAGCTCAATGCTGGTGTTGCTTTTTCCTCTGTTTTTGTAACCCAGACATCTGCAGCTGCTTCAGCTGGGTTTTGCTTTACTCACATCTTGTAAATAGGGAGTGGAGATGGTGCTCTCCACTCCTCTCCCTTCAGCTCCCAGACCTCGCAGAGATGTTAAAGACACCCAGCCACTTCATTTACCCTGCTGTGCTTCCCAGTCACTGAATACCTTGTTAAGTGATTTACAACACGTATGTGTTTTGCAGGAAGAATTTTTCCCCAAATCCCTTCATTGTACACTTCACTAGCCTGCATTTATAGCAGTGTAGTATTATTATCTGCACCATTTACTAATCTGCTGTATCTCCTCTCTATGCTGAAAGCAGTAGGGGCTTTGACGTGCTGTTGATTCCCAAAGAAAGTGAGAGTAAAGTAATTTTAATAGTGTGATGCTGGGAGGGGAACGGTAGTAATTGTACCAGACCTACCCAGCAACCTTTACCTTGGAAATACAGTTTACCTTCTGAGTGTTTTCTTAGGAAATCTGCCAAACTTCATCTTCATAGAATCACAGACCTGGTTTGGGTTGGAAGGGACCTTTGGCCATCTAGTCCAACCCCCCTGCAGGGAGCAGGGGCAGCTTCAACTGGAGCAGATTGCTCAGAGCCCCATCCAACCTCACCTGGAACGTTTCCCACGGATGGGGCTTCTACCACCTCCCTGGGCAACCTGGGCCAGTGTCTTCATTGTCTGATTCTGCACAAGGCGACCCTGGCAGCCTCCGAAATGTTAAAGCTCTGATTTTAATCTAACCTTTAGCCACTGTGCTACAGTGTTTTTCTGCATAGCTGCTTTTGGGAATGGCATGTTTTCTTGTATTAATTGATAATTTGCTTTCATTTGTATTTTTATTGAAGGAGAAATTCTATCTTACCCTGGATACATTGATTCCTCTGCATATTTAGCAGAACTGCCACACTCAGTTTAAAATTGCTTACAATCCTCCCCCTTGAGTTACACTTACACAGCTGCTTTTCTCCTAATTCAAAGGACTTGTGTTGTCAATAGTATTTACAAGCAAGGCAATTGGTTTATGTCTTTCTATCTGCTAGAAAACCAAGCTGACCCTTCAGAAACTAATGAAAGCGTTACCAAGCATTGGAGCAGGCTGCTGAGGGAGGGGGTGGAGTCACCATCCCTGGAGGGATATAAAAGCCATGTAGGTACTGAGGGGTATGGTTTAGTTGTGGACTTGGTAGGGTTAGGTTAATGGTTGTACCTGATCTTAAAGGGCTTTTCCAAACTATTCTATGATTCAGACCATCTTCTGCATATGCTTTGGTGGCTGTGTGATGTATTGTTCTGTTGAGATGGTGGAGGGTGGGAGCAGAATGGCATTTTCCTGGGTTCCCAGGTGAAAAGCTCTATTTTTTCCAGAAGGTGTCATAAGATGCATGTTGCAAGCAGATGGGTTCTACCTGCTTATGTATCACTAGCCTTACTTAAATGAGAAGATGCAGGCTTATGACTCAACACCTAGATGTACAAATGCCTTGAAAGAGGTGATCATCCAGATCCCATAATTGCTACCCTAGTGCTCTCCAGTATCCCGTTTCCTTTTACTCCAAATTAACAGAAGCCCTTTATATAATGGAAACATCTGTTGGCCTTTCAATGAAGGTGTGAACAACTTATGAAGAGCTGAGCAGTGCTCACAAACACATCTACAGGAAATGGATGAATTCCCATACTCTGACTTCTGATTAATGAAGGTGATCAGTCCTCTGTCAACTTGTTGGTGCAGGCCTGAGGCTGTCCCAGTCTCTGATTTTTTTTGTATTTTGGTAGCAGGAAAGGAGTCAATGCCTGATGAGACTAATGCCAGTCTCAACTATAGGTTTCATCAATAAAATATTACATTTCATCGTACTGATGGCACTTTTCCTACAGGGATTCAGTGTCTCTGTCCATACAAAAGCCTGGATTTGTAGGATACCCCCATACAACATTGGTTTTGCTTTTTCGGTGGGGAAAAGGATCATGAGTTCATGTGTGTAAGCATGGAAAGCTTCCCTGATACCTGCTGAAGCAATAGCAACTGCAGTATTGGGACTAAACAAGGGGCCATTTTTTATGGACAACAATGCTCTTTGGCCTTGCCATCTGCCAGAAAATTCCAGGAAAATGCAAATTTAGGGCTCTTTGCTTAGAATAGCTGCTGGAATGCTTTGCAGCCACTACTGCACACCTCGTGTGTCCCAAATGGAATGGATAGATCACAGCACAGTGTCTTCTGCTTCCTTGAAAGTGGCCACACACTTCCTGGTTCCTGCAGGCTTCCCACATTTTTATTGCTCTGCTCCCAGGCAGGAGCACGTGAGTCAGGAAACGTATAGCAGGGAGAAGTCTGGATGGGCATCTGAATTGCAAAGATATTTTCTTCCTCTGGAGCTGTTGTACAAAACAGAGGGATATTTAGAATACTTCCTGTAGAAGTAACTGATGTTTTTAATATTTTTTTTAATTATTTTTTTGACAGGACAGTATTTTATTTAATTCTACCATACATCTTTTAGCATGTTGCTTGGGCAACATAGACTGGGTTGGATTGGAAGGGGCCTTTAAGGGTTGTCTCATCCAAACCCCCTGCAGTGAGCAGGGACAGCTTCAACTAGAGCAGGTTGCTCAGAGCCCCGTCCAACCTCACCTGCAATGGTTCCAGGGATTGGGCTTCTATCAGCTCTCTGGGCAACCTGGGCCAGTGTCTCACCACCCTCAGTGTCAAAAATTTCTTCTTTCACTTTAGTCTCAATCTCCTCTCTTTAAGGTTAAAACCATCAGCTCTTGTCTTGTCACAACAGGCCCTGCTAAAAAGTCTGACCCAAGATTTCTGATAGCCCTTGCTTTAAGAACTGGAAGGCCACAATGAGGTCTCCCTGAAGCCTTCTCTTCCCCAGGCTGAAGAGCCCAAACTCTCTCAGCCTGTCCTCATAGGAAGAAGTTCAGGTCTATGTTTAAAGAAAGATCCCTGTACAGTAACTTGAGATTTTTTTCAGGTCTGTTGTCCACATGTGCATTCTGCTGCCTGACCCTATTTGGCCTGGATCCATGAATCCAGAGCTGACAGAGCCTGTTGTTGCACTTGGGGTACACACTGCGCAGCATTCGTCAGTGCCACTTGCCCAGTTACAGCAAAGATAGGAGCAAGCTGCAAATTTTCTATAATTCTTCTTAAAATTCTAGAGAAGATCATTATGAGAAGATCACTTTTAAAAAGGTGCTTTTTCTTTCAAAGAAAGATAGGTGGCTTCTTCCCTTATTAGAAGTTGTTGGGAAGAGTTTGAGCAGGGTTAAAATGGATCATATAAAAATTGTTTGATGGTACCTGCTGAACTGATGGCTATTCCATGCAGACCATGAAACCATGCTGTATTATGCACTTGAGATCTTTAGTATCCTGCTGTATCAGTCTGTTGTGCTAGACAGAATGGGAGGAGCCTGAACCTGAACCTCTCTTGACAAGGTGATTTATCTCTCCCAGAGGGAAAGGCTGTATGATTATTACCGTGGTGATGATTTACCTCCTCCCTTGGCTCCGGGCTGTGGTTGGGGAGTTTGGAGGCTGCAGCTCTTGTCCCAACACTGATGCAGCCGTGCTGGTGCTAAAATGAGGTGATGTGTTGTGTAGTGTAACTGAGTGGGTGTCCCAGAGCTGCATATGTCGGTGGTGACCCTCCTGGCACACTCCTCCCCGGCCGGATCAGAGCAGAGAGGAGTGTGTCCTTATCCCTTGCCTGCTCACTGGCTGTGCTGGGATGCAGTAGTGCTAACTCTGGGGGATCTCAGGAAGCCTTTCTGTGTCTCTCTGGGTGTGTGGCTGTAGGAGCTTTCCTTTTCCCATCACTGTAAGAATGTCATTTCTCTGTCCTAGGGGCTGACGTTTGAGGAGGTGGAGAGCTTCTTCACTTTTCTGAAGAACATAAACGACGTGGACACAGCTTTGAGCTTCTACCACATGGCTGGAGCTTCACTTGACAAAGGTATTAAAACTTGCAGGATTGATGGCTTGAGGGGAGCGTGATTCATGCCATGTCTTTGGACTTGAGAACATGTCAAACAAGCCCAGGCTGACAGGTTAAAAATGTACCAAAATCACAGTTCCTCCCTGTAATGAAAGGTTTAACTTGCTATGTCCATGGGTAAAGAGGGATTTCAGGTTTAATACTTCCCCAGCTTTAGATATAGAGAGGAAAAAATGCTGACATGTAGAGCCTGAATAGATTAGGAAGCAGTGATTTCATGGTGACCGATCAGTAAGCGGTGATATCATAGAATGCTTTGGGTTGGAAGGGACCTTTAAGGGTCATCTAGTCCAACATCCCCATATCCTGGTGATATCTGCAGCAAGACTTCTCAGGTATGATGCCTGCAGAGGCAATGACCTACTGAGCCTGTCAGAGGCTCTGTTACCAGATCCCAGGGACACCAGTGTTTCTTCTTCATCCTCATCTTCTGAAGGACAGTTTTTTCTTCTTTTACAAAGTACTTGGAAAATGATTGTTAGCAAAGTCAAGAGGTATTAGAAGAAGTGCTCTTGCAAACTGTCTTCTCTAGAGGTCTCCATGATTGACATGGCAGAAGCACTAATCAGTAGTGGAGATGGTGGTAGGAACTGTTCAACCCTGGTTTTGTTTCAGCTTTGCTTTAAAATAAGAGGCTTTGCTTGGAAATAAGAGCTGTATGGCCAGATACTGCATTTCTGATCTGAAATGCAAGTAATTTCAGGAATCCAAGCACCTCTAGTGCTCCTAGGTGTGCTGGAAGGAAGAAAAGGGAGCACTGAAACCCTGCTGAGGTCCCAGACTGAGCATTAAAGCCTGTCCAGAGCAGTTCTTTTCAGATAACCCACAGTCCAGAGGCTGTGTGTGGCTGGAGAAGCTGTCTGGATAAACCTCAGAGCTGGTGTTTCCTGGCCAGCTTGGCAATTGTGCAGTTTATCAATCAGACCAAGCCATATCCTTCTTCACCTCATCCTGTTTCATTTTCTGAGCTAATCCATATCAGGTATGTTTTCAGATGTGACACACTGATTTTAAAAATAAATTAAAAATAAAAGAAAAAAAAAGAAAAATATCATACATTTGAAAAAAATAAAAATTTGTCACAAGTATGTGCTCTAGCTTTCTAGATCTTTTCTTAAGAGTTGGGTTTTTTTAAGTGTCCATACTGCAGAGATAAAAAAAAATGGCAAACTCATTAGACATTTTTTAGGCCAGCTGGAAACTCTTGTCTACAAGAAAGTTAAAGCTGATGTATTTAGGCAGCTGCAAAATTAAATGTTTCAGAAGTAAGCTATTCTTCTGACCACTGCTGTTGGGGGATTATGAAGACATCAATAGGTTTGGGGGCAGTGGAATTACAAAGGGAGTGAACACATCACATCGCTTCTTGCGTGCATCAACAGCCCTCCTCACCTTTGATTTTTCTGGGAACATCTTCTCTACTCTTTGTTTTAGATCACCATTACCTGAAGACTTAAAGTGAAAAGAACCTGATAGGATTTTCTTTCACTTCAAAGTGAAAATATGAAGTACAGCTGTGCTGCTACTGCTGCAGCGTCCCACAGGGAGGTAGTAGCCCAGCAAATCCAATTAACTCGGTGTCTACAGCAAATTAGCAAATGCCCTATCATGGACTATGTACTTGTGGAGTATTTAGGTCCACATGCAGTTGGTAAATCAGTGTGATTGCTGTTTAATTATGTGCAATCAAAGAGCTTGTGCTGGAGCCACAGCAGCTGAGCTGGGGGTATTTGGCTGGAGTAAGTAAACCCTGGAGTAAGTAAACCTTTGTCTTGAGAACCACTTGCAGGCTCAGCTGTCCCCAGGTCCTGGCTGTCAGGAGGGATTTCCTTGGGCAGAAGAGGAGGGTTATCCTGCAGAGTCCCTCTCTGCACGTGTCTAGTGGCCAATACAAATCACCCCTCGTGTCCTTCTGTGCTGCTCAACCCAGAGGTGCTCTGGGCGGGAGGTGTGAAGGGAGCTGTGTTTTGCTGTGGTCCTCACAAAGGTGCAAAGTAAGCTGCAGGGATACCCCTGGGTTTTGCAGCAGGCATCTGTGTGCTCCAAAGCTTCAATGGTCCGTGCCCTCCCTGATTCCACATGCATACACTCTGACTCTGGGTACTGCACCCACAAATTGAATAAGCAATAAATGGGGTGTCCTCTCCAAAAGTCAAGCTTTCAAAGGGTTGCTTATTAAGAAAAAAACAAATGTAAAAATTACTCATCATATGAAGTGGAGGAAGAAGACAGTTTGTGTATCAAATAAATTGCTACTAACCCAATGCAGCAATCATTATTATAATTTTAGGAGGTCTATTTAAAATTTAAGAGGAAAACAAATGGATGGCACGAAACAGCCATAGCTTGACAACCTGTTTTCTGTGTTGAATTAAAGTAGCCTCTTCTAAAATGGATCATAAACCTGTATTTTAATGACGCATAGAATAACACACAGACTATTTATTAGTCCATCTTTCATTTTACCAGAAACATAATAGCTGTCATTCTCTTAAATCATAAGCATTTCTGAGAAAACTTTCCCAGCCTGGGCTTAAGCTGGCAGCAGGGCAGGAGCCAAATTCATTGCTTATTCCCCTTTCAAGGCGAGGATGTGAATGACACTTTTTTTTTGGCACCTTCTGCAGCCAGACTTTCCAAGCAGCCATTCTGCTGGTGCTGGCAGAGAGCCGTGGTGTAAATCCTTTGTGTTTTAGGGCAAGGCACAGAGAGGGACCAAAGCGACAGGAGGTGGCTGAGCCCACTGCTTGTGCCAGTGCCTTGACTAGCTCAGAGCTGGGCTGGAGCACAGGAGGAGCTCATAGAACATAGTTTTATTTGAAGTATGTAGCTTGAAATGGCTGCAGAGTTGAGAGGGAATTTGGAAGGAGGTAGAGATGGATTTAGATTGCAGCATGCACTTGTCATTGAATTGCTGCTTGATTCAATCTGCCTTTGGAGCTGGGTGAAAGAAGTTGGTCCCCCATAGAGGCACAGCTCTGATCACTCCTGTAATGGCATGCAGTCAGTGCTGGTAGTTGTGTGGGGAACGCTTCTGTAGGGTAGTTGAGGTTGGTGGGGATCTCTAGAGACCCTCTAGTCTAAGGGGATTGCCTGCAGCAGCTTGCCCAGAGCCACCTCTAGTCAGATGGTGGACACACCTGAGGAACGGGATCCATCCAGAAGGGTCCTTAAAACCTTTTAACTTTGTTAAAACCCAACAAAATAATTACTGAGCACAGCACAGTCACATAGCCCCTGTGAAATAATGTTTTTCCAGAGTTTTTGCATCAAGCAAGAACATGACAAGCACTGGTGCAGCTGGATTAATCCAAGAGGAATCCAAGTAACGGATGGCCGTAAATACATATTACAGCTGGTAAAACTGTGGCTGTGAAAAATAAACAAGCATATGTCAAAAGGGAGGGGAGGGAACAGCCAACACCCTGTAGAGATGGAAGGAGAGGGGTGAAAACTCAGCAGAAAAAACATGACTTACAATTAAAAAAATAATTATCAAATTTTTTTTTCCTTATGAGGCTATAGTAAATAACTTCTTCAGTAGGGTCCCCGGGGCACCAGGTGGAAAGGATGGTATCAAACTTTGCTTGAGCACTTTTAAAGAAGATTTACCCTGAAAATGAGTTAAATGAAATTCAGTATTGCTCTCTGAGAAAATACAGATTTGCTTTTGCTGTCTGAAGCACTGGGTCTTGGGTTAGAGATGGCTCACAGTGCTCAAAACCTCTGCCACTGCCAAAGTTGAGATGTTTTGAAGTGCCTCCCCAGGAGAAGGACTTTCTGGGGAAAAAATAAGCTCAGAAATGAGTTTGTCTGAAGTCTTTCTTTTACCTAACCTTTTTTTTTCTTGAGCTTTACACCTAACTAAAGTCTCCCAGCAGCACGTGGCAGTGGCAGTTACAGCATGTTTTGCAGGTGGCTGGAGCCAGGCCTGTGTTTAGGGAATGAGCGTCTTGTAATTGGGGAGCAGGAAGGCACCTTTTCCAAAAGCATATATAACCTCCTGAGGTGGGGTGTTTATCTTGGTCAAAAGGACTTGTGCCATCCACTCTTCAGCTCCAACATTTGATCTAAAAGGACCTATAAATACTGCGTTATAGCTGTGCAATTTATAGGCATCCTCTCCTGTGTTTTGGGGTGTGCATGATGCTGGCCATCAACCCCTCCCTGTCAGTTCAAGGGGAAAAGCTGACGGCAGCTTTGTCATTTAATTTGGGAGCGTTTGATGTCGGTGTGAGCTAATTAAGTGCTGGACTGTTAAAGCCATTGTTGGAGGGCTGCTGCCACCTAATGCACCCGCTCGCTGGTGTTGTGGTTCATTCATTCCATAGTGCTGCATCTCACTGGCTAATTTCTGCATGCTCAGAAGGAGAGAGCTGAAAGGAAAAACTTCTTCCCTGTCGAGGTGGCAGAGCCCTGGACCAGGCTGCCTAGAGAGGTTGTGGGGTCCCTTTCTCTGGAGAGATTCCAAACACACCTGCACACGACCCTGGCCACCCTGCTCTGGGTGACCCTGCTGGAGCAGGGAAGTTGGATGAGATGATCTCCAGAGGTCCCTTCCAACCCCTACCATGCTGAGATTCTGTGATATGTGGACCTGGTGTCTGTCCTTGCACTTAAACCATTAATTCCTCCTTTTCCTTTGCTATCCAGGTTTTCCTGGGTACGATGGCATGATGTATCCTGCAGCCTGGTTGGTAAGGGTGGGCTCGGAGAGACGTGTGGTCTCCCCACAGCTCAGTTGGCAAGGTTTGGACGTAAGACTGGTGAACAAAATTATTTCAACTTTTCTTTAATGATTGTTATCTCTGCCCTCCCCTAATCAGGCTCTGGGGCTCTGGCTGCCAGCAGGACATGCACAGGAGCACCGGCTGTTTCCTGACTTATGGTGATAGAACTGAAATATAGAGTAATAACTGCAGGCTACGTAGAATCACATAGAATTGTAGAATGGTTTGGGTTGGAAATGACCTTTAAGATCATTAAGTCCAACTGTTAACCCAGCACTGCCAGGAAACCACTAAACCAAGCCACTCAGCACCACATCTTCATGGCTTTGAAAGCCCTCCAAGGATGGGGACTCCACCACTGCCCTGGGCAGCTGGGGCCAGGCCTTGACAACCATTTGGGGAAGATATTTTTCCTCATGTCCAACCTTAACCTCCCCTGGTGCAACCTTGGGCCACTTCCTTTTGCCCTATAACTTGTTACTTAACTCAAAAAGAATAATTACATGGAGACAGCAGGTTGCCTACTTGAGATTGTATATATATTAATCCACTTTCTGTTTAATTTCAGTTTTTGCCTGCATTATTTAGTAAAAGGAGGGGGCTTATAGGAGACAGGCACATGATGGTGGTTGTGGTTTGCTCCATGAAAACCCCAAACCTCATTCAGGGGACCAGAAATAAGGTAGAAGGAACCAATAATCTGAACATTCATGGGGGAAAAAAAAAAATCTTATTAGAAACACTTTATGCCGTTTCTAATTAGTCCATTTAGGGTCTAGACTGGGTGCTTATATTTTCCTTTCTAACACACAACTCTTCAAAATTTCCAAAGGGCCAATGGCTCTGCAAAGGAACCAGAGTGCCTGAAAGTCCCAGAAGCATGCAGTGGACGACAGCAAATGCTTTTTTTGGTTTCAATCTGATTTTGTGTCACACCACTTCTCTCGTTTGCCTTGCTGAAGGGGAGTTCCACAGCTAAATGTTCATCCCAGTTGCTGTGGGCTCACTGCTACAGTGCAAAGTCTCTCTAGACAGGGTTTCCTCAGGTCAGGCTTTCTAGGGAAGTTTTTATTTAACTTAGAAAAGCCCTTCCATTTTATCAAGTATCTGGAAGGGAGCAAGGTGTTTAAGCCCTGACAAACAGTGACAACTGAGCTGCTCTTAACCTCCCCTCCTTCCTTCCATTAGCAGCCAGCAAAGGGAGACTAGACGCAGCCAGACAGACCAGACACAAATATATGTAAAGAAAGAGATAAACCAGCCCAGTGAGGGTTTATTTTAATTCTTCCCTTTATGCAGCAAAATTGTCTGCATTAACCCTGCCAGATTGATAGCTCCACAGATTGCTCTTTTCTAGAGGCGTGAATAAAACCACCACTCACTTCTTTGCTGATGAGCACACTGTCAGTTTCAGGGAGGGGTGGAATTAAATAATTTGTTACCACTATTTTATTGCAAGGTTAACTCAACTGGTTGCTCCTGTCACATGTTCTGCTATTGACCCTAGGTTGCTGAACAGAAAGACTGTTGTTTATTATTCCCAGCTTGTTGCAATGGTTGGTTTACAGAGTATCGTCTTTGTAGCACTGTCAGAAGGAGCTTCCCTGTCACTCAAGCCCATCAGGAGAGGTTTCTCACCTGGTGTTTGCAGTAGTGTTGACACCTCTTCCAATTTTGTAACCAAAGCAGGGGAAAAACAAACACCTCATCTCAGTGTTTTTAATGTTTATCTTGAACACACAGGTGTCGGCGTGTTGGTGCTCCCCAGCAGCGTCTCCATACTCTGGGGGGGTTGCAGTAGGAAGGCAAAGGCTTGGAGGAGCCTGGTAGGAGGCATAGGTGGAATGGGCTGGGGACAAAGCTTATTTCAAGCCTCTTTGAACGTGACGCATTTTTGTTAAGGCAGTTTTCTGTGGAGGAACAAGAATCTTTCACTCCTGCCTGTGTTCACTGTGCTTGGCAGCTCATGATATCCCACTAACCTTGTGCCCTCCCTCCCTTGCAGTGACGATGCAGCAGGTGGCCAGGACGGTGGCCAAGGTGGAGCTCTCTGACCACGTGTGTGATGTGGTGTTTGCACTCTTTGACTGCGACGGTAAGTGACCCCAGGATTGCCCCATTCCTCTTGGCCAGGCTAGATGAGATTCAATGTGGGGGAAGAAATAGAAGCTTGCCATCACCTTGGTTCTTTTTGCCCTGCTGCTGTCCACTCCTTGACTGTGCATCTGTACGGATGCCTCTGCCCTTCTAGGAAGGGTATCTGTTGGTACCCAGCTTCTGAGACCATAGAATCATAGAATCATTTTGGCTGAAAGAGACACTTAAGATCATAGAGTCCAGCTGTTAACCCAGCTCTGCCAGGGCATCACTTAACCACATCCCTCAGCACCATATCTCCATGGCTTTGAAAGCCCTCCAGGGATGGGGATTCCACCACTGACCTGAGCAGCCTGGGACAGGCCTTGACAACCCTTCTGGGGAAGACATTTTTCCTCATGTCCAACCTTAACCTCCCCTGGCACAACTTGAAGCCATTTCCTCATGTCCTATCAGTTGTTCCCTGGGAGAAAAGAGCAATCCCCACCTGGCTCCAACCTCCCTTCAGGGAGCTGTCAAGAGTGAGAAGTTCTCTCCTGAGCCTCCTTTTCTCTACTAATCTCCAAGATAAAAAAAAATTTAATAATTTTATTCCTTATTGTTCCTCTTGGTTTCAGCCCCACCTGCTTCTTTGCACCTTTCTAAGGTTGCATCTCTTGTTTTATTTTTCTCTGTGCTTTGGTGTCACTCTCTGATATGATGCTCAAGCCAGATGTCAGGCTGGAGATGAGTGAATCAAAGCATAGGCAAATATTCTCCATTTGCCTCCTCTCTTAGGAGGATCTGCTAAATATTCTCACAGCAAACCATAGGGGGGAAAAACTGTGCCAGAGGAGTCCCTGTGAGGAGGGAATCAAGTGGAAAAGCAGGTGCAGACTTTTTGTGTGTGTGTGTTTTCACTCCATCAGTGTTTATAGACATTAGACTCATAGAATCACTATGGTTGGAAAGGACCTCTAGGATCATCAGGTACAACCTTCCTCCCAACATCTCCCTAACCACTACACCATAGCCTTAAGTGCCACAGCTCCTCGTTTTTTGAACACCTCCCGGGATGACTCCACCACCTCCCTGGGCAGCCCATTCCAGTGCCTAACCACTCTCTCAGTGAAGAAAATCTTCCTAATACCCAATCAAAACCTTCCCTGATTATCACGCGCGCATCAAAAACCTGCAGCACAGGAGGGAATTTTACTCTCCCCTTGAAACTTTGCTGGAATTTCACTGCCCAGATTTGCATTTGGATGTAAGGCAGGAAAAATAAAACTCTCATGTGAAGAAACTCATTCATGAAATATAATGATGTGGTTCCCCATATCAACCAGAGAGATTGTCTCTCCTTCAGTCTGGGGAATCGATGGCACTGACAGGTTTGTTTCTTGATGTCCTTCCTATTTCTTCTGTGCCCAGAGGTGGGTTGCTTCCCTGTGCTGCTCCCCAGAAGCTAAATTCAGTGCTGTGAGCTGTGTGCCATAGGCAGGGGAGCAAAATGGACAACGGGCAGCAGCCCCTCAGCACACAGCAGTCAGGCTCTGGGTCATGCTGCTGTCCCCTCGGATCAAACACTGCAGTAAACAAAAATCCCACAAGTTTTAATTGAGTGGCAGTTAAGCCACTACAGAATAAAATTTGCCCAAATTTACTAGTCTTATTTTTAACATAAAATTAGTTAACATAATGCTCAATAACCTCACTAGATTAATGAATCTTCCTTTCTACTCCATTAAGAAAAAATCTGTGCTCTGTTACCCTCTGCTCCCATAATTCCTTAAATAACTTAAAGCAGCAAGTTTCCTGTGGGTACATGGGCATTTGCTTTGCATTTCATTTTCTGTCTTCAAGCTCCAGTGCTCCAAGCCCTGAAAGACTGGGGTTGCTTTTGGGCCCCTCACTCCAAGAAGGACCTTGAGGGGCTAAAGCATATCCAGAGAAGGGCAACAAAGCTGGGGAAGGGGATAGAGCACAAGTCTAGTGAGAGATGGCTGAGAGACTTGGGGTTGTTGAGCCTGAAGAAAAGGAGGCTCAGGAGAGACCTTCTGTCTCTCAACAACTCCCTGCCAGGAGATTGGAGCCAGGCGGGGGTCAGTCTCTTTTCCCAAGGAACAAGTGACAGGACAAGAGGAAATGGCCTCAAGTTGTGCCAGCAGAAGTTTAGGTTGGATATGAGCAAAAATGTCTTCCCTGCAAGGGTTGTCCAGGCCTGGCCCAAGCTGCCCAGGGCAGTGGTGGAGTCTCCATCCCTGGAGGGGTTTCAAAGCTGTGGAGATGTGGTGCTGAGGGACATGGGTTAGTGGTGACCTGGCAGTGCTGGGTCAGCGTTTGGAATCAATGATCTGAAAGTTCTTTTCCAACCAGAATGATTCTAAGACGTATTTGTGCTAGGCTACACAGGACAGTGTCCGTAGGGTTGGGATTTAAATACTGTAGTCATCTCTTGCACAGCAGGACATTTTGAAAACTTGAAGCCACGTGTGATTTCAGTCTCTGCAACAAATGACACTTGTAGCTGCTGCTCCATTAAAGCAGTGCAAGCAGAAAGGAGGTTGTTGGTGGGTTTTAGTGGTTTTAATATTTTGGTTTTTCTTCTCCTCGCAGGGAACGGCGAGCTGAGCAACAAGGAGTTTGTTGCCATAATGAAGCAGCGCCTGATGCGAGGCCTGGAGAAGCCCAAGGACATGGGCTTCACGCGGCTCATGAGGGCAATGTGGAAATGTGCCCAGGAGACAGCCTGGGACTTCACCGTGCCCAAGCCCTAGCGGGGTCCAGGAGGAGCACCCGCTTTCCCTGGCTCAGCCCCACCGCCAGCTGCAGGCGAGCACCGCTGCTGCGGGGTGGCACCAGGCTCTGGCGAGCCCAGACTGTTTGTAACAGGAGATTTTTGTAAATTGAAGTTAGAAATCAAAGCCTGTTCTGTTTCCAGCTCCTGCTTGCCACTGGCCTCTTAATATTCCCCTCTCTCAGGAAAAAGTAAGATTTAACTGCTGCCACCTCCGCTTCGTGATGCGCTCTGCATCGAGCCAGCTGCTGGGGCTGCACCCAAATCACTTTTAATTGCTATTACTAAACTGCATGCAGTTTAATTCTTGGATTCCTCCGAAGAAAGAAGCCATAGGATTCCCGGATAGATTGGACTGGTGGGACCCAGGAGCAGAAGCTGGAGCAGGCAGGTGGTGACAGCTGCCCAAGGGTTCCAGTCATCCAAAAGCTCCATGCACCCTCACACTGTTGAGGGGTGGAGGGGACGGCTGCACCCACAGAGGGGCTGCTTGAGCCGAGGTGCTGCCTCTGGTGTAGGAGCAGTTAAAACTAGTGGAGCAACTGGCTCTCCCACCCAGCCTGGCCTGCATAAACAACCTCCCACAGGAGGTCTCCAGTTATTTTTTTTTTAAATGGGGAGCCCTCTCCATGGGGAATTGCCATTCCATAACAAGAACGGGCTGAAAGGTGTTACCTGCTGCGTGCTGTCCTCTCTGGAAAGTACCCTGTAAAGATGTTGCTCACAACAACGTGGCTCATGGCTCATCTTTTTTGATTGCTTCACGTCTTCACCTAAGGCCGGTAGTGGAGATAGAATCATTTACATTGGAAAAGACCTTTAAGATCCTTGGCTGGCTCAGAGCTGGGCTGGAGCACAGGAGTTCATTGAACATAGTTTTATTTGAACTATGGAGCCTGAAACAGCTGCAGAGTTGAGAGGGAATTTGGAAGGAGGTAGAGATGGATTTAGATTGCAGCATGCACTTGTCATTGAATTGCTGCTTGATTCAATCTGCCTTTGGAGCTGGGTGAAAGAAGTCAGTCCCCCACAGAGGCACAGCTCTGATCACTCCTGTAATGGCATGCAGTCAGTGCTGGTAGTTGTGTGGGGAACGCTTCTGTAGGGTAGTTGAGGTTGGTGGGGATCACTAGAGACCCTCTAGTCTAAGGGGATTGCCTGCAGCAGTTTGCCCAGGGCCACCTCTAGTCAGATTGTGGACACACCTGAAGGATGGGATCCATCCAAAGGGACCTGGGCAGGCTTGAGAAGTGGGTCTATTTGAACCTCATGAGGTTCAACAAGGCCAAGTGCAAGGTGAGGGGATGGAGAGCATCCCTGCAGAAAAGGACTTAGGGGGATTGGGTGGTGAAAAGCTGGCCAGGAGCCAGCAATATGCACCCGCAGCCCAGAAACAAACAGCAGCCTGAGCTGCACCCCCAGCAGCGTGGGCAGCAGGGCAGGGAGGGGATCCTGCCCCTCTGGGCAGACCCCCCCTGCAGTGCTGGGGCAGCTCTGGAGTCCTCAGCACAGCAGAGACAGGGACCTGCTGGAGCGGGGAAGGAGGAGCCCCAGCAGTGACCCGAGGGTGGAACCCCTCTGCTGGGAGGCCAGCAGGAGAGAGCTGGGCTTGGGCAGCCTGGAGAGGAGAAGGCTCCAGGGAGACCTGATTGTGGCCTTCCAGTATTTAAATAGGGCTTGTAAGATGGGGACAGCCATTTCACAAGGGCTTGTGGTGATACTATGAGGGATGATGGGTTCAGGCTGGAATAGGGGAGATTTAGATTAAAT